AATACGTAACAACTTCAATTTGCCACCTTACAGACGTAAAGTCAAAAATAATAATGAGAAGTTACTTGATTGTAGAAAAGTAAAAAAACGAAGAGGAAGTTGCGTAAATGAATCGTTTCAGTTTAATTTTGGAATATCCTTTTTTTCTTTTACTTTCCTTCCGAAGTATTTTTTTATATATCAGGAATATACATTGGTAACTTTATAATGAATAATCTATATTAATTTAAAATATTATTTCCATTTTTACAACCTGGTTTACGTATTTAAGCAACGTCACAAATCAAGTGATGTTATGGAAATTGACACATTACAAAATGTAAAATCCTTTAGTTAGGCCCCCCAGTGGCACAGCGGTATGTCTGCGGACTTACAACGCTAGAAACCGGGTTTCGATACCCGTGGTGGGCAGAGCACAGATAGCCCTTGTGTAGCTTTGTGCATAATTAAAAAACAAACAAACAAACAAACCTTTAGTTAGTATTTGAATCAAAATATGATCAAACTTCGAGATCTCCAGATTGTTTTAAACCAAAACACACTTTATCATACCTTAATTATTTCTAATTTAGTTTCTTTGATAATATCTCAGATTGAGCTTATTCCACAGGTATTGTGTTAAATAGTTTACTTGTGAGACTTATCATATATTTTCACTAAATAAACCTATCCATATCCTTATAATAAACTCTTTGAAGAAAAATAGGTATGTACTTTTCTGTAGATTTAGGCAGCTGCTTTCAAGAAAGGTGTCATGTTTAATGTCGTTTTCTCTTTTTAACATATTGTTCACTCAATGTTGTGAAGATGAACTTACCATATTGTTGTCATTTCAGTGGAGAAGCTTCTAGTGAATAACGTAACTATGGTGATTATGTCACTGAAGAAATTCCAGAACTTCGTCTCTACATCTAGTTCGGTCGAGTGTAGCCTAGTTGTAGATGTGCCAGACTGTGAATCCGAGTGCATATGGTAGGCCACAAAATCGCGCTTCGCACACTGGGATCGTTATAAGAGTAACGGTTGGTTAGAGTATAGTCTAAGAGGTAACAGTGGGTATTATTGACTAGCTGTCTTCCCTCTAGTCTATCAATTCAAAATTATGGACGGCTGGCATAGACAGTTCTTATGTAGTTCTGCCTGAAAATCCGTTCAAACAAAGTATTTATTAGATACTTTTGATTAGAATAAAAAACAAAATTTTTGAAATACATACTACATTCAGTTTAAATTTTCTGATGAATCTCGTAAGTCTTCTGTAATCTGAAGGCAGAGATCATGAAACAGTATTGAAGTTGTGTTAGTGAGTTATTAGATAATAATTTATGATCGAATAAAGTTGTTTAAATATTTGTTTAACAACAAGTAAAAGCTTGGAATGGTCTATTTTTTTCATTGGGGGTGTGTCTGAGAGCCAGACTAGTTTCGGAGAATTCCACTCCTCATCAGTGATCCTGGACACTATCACCAATGAAATAGCACACCAAACCAAGCCTTTATAGTAGTGAGGTATCGAAAATCGAACTGGTGTATTTAAGTGTTTTACACTCACAAAAAAGAAACATATCATTCTATAG